GAAAGTAGGCATTCAAAACAGCCTCTGTTCTCATAGAAATAACATATGCAAAACAGAGTGGCCTATTTCTTGCTTCAGATCATGAACAGTCTTAGATCAGTGATTTTTCCATTTATCTCTATATAAACTCTAAGAGAAAGAAAAAGTGAACAAGTGCACATTTAATTTATTCACATTCTATAATCATGAATTTATTAAAATCCAATTTCTATTCAAGTTTGTTTTTTCTTATTTTAAGGGACAGGTGTACTGTTGCGTATATTTATAAGTACAGCTTTGAATCTGGAACATCATGTCATTATTTCAGAATTACCGAGCAGGGCTAAAGTCAACAAACGCTGCCTGAGAGAGACATGTGGTATGGGCCTTTGTGACTTTACTATTTGTCTGGAAAAAAGCAAGCACTTTTTTGTGAATTTGAGCTCAACTCTAGATTATTTACAAATATTTAGCAAAGACTAAAAGGGTCTATCTCATTCCTTCCTCCCTTTGCCCCTCTTTTTGCTTCCTACTGCCATGTCATGAGCTCCTTTTCCTCTGCAATGCCCATCTCCCATGCCTTAGAGCCAGCCAACTGTGGACTGAAGCCTCTATAAACTGTGAACCAAACAATTCCTTCCCTCCATTAATTTTCAAGGGTCAAGTACTGCATCTCACTGAGGAGAATGTAACTAAGACATCTATTGAGAGCTTTAAAGATCCTTAAATTTACATCTCAACAAACTGCATTTCTGTTAAACTTGTATTTATATTATTAATTTATAAGACATTTATGTGATTTCATTCCTTTAAACAAACTTAATAGAGAGTATGATATTATAGTACTGTAGGTTGTTAAATTAGAGAAAGCTGAGTGAAGGGGATATGAGAAAGATTACATGTAATTAGTGCAACTCTGGTTTAAATTTAAAATTATTTTAGCACAAAAGTGAAATAATACAAAGAGATTAACGCTTGGAATCTGGAAATGGTAGGGCTTTTTAACAGAAGTGTGATTAGCTAATGGACATGCAAAGGGTTTGTTGCACCATCTGACACTCAGCCCTTTGCTCTCCACTATATTGCCACTGAGAAATGGACCTCTGCTTCATCCAGACAGTTCCTTCTCTTCCACCTGTCAATACCAGTCTAGAGACCTCATTTCAACTATTGTGCTTTTCTAAGTCTACAACACAAACCGGCATGAATGTGTCTATAAAGTCTGATGTGGCTCTTAAAGTCAGAGGCTGGGAGACTCAACCACTAAGTTTATAATCTTTTTACTCAGTATCCAAGACCCGTACCACTCAACAGCACAGAGTGAGATACGGCACCATGAAATAAATGACAATATAAAACATACACAGACACTCAGATATACAACACAGAGACACAGATATAAAACATACACCTAAAGCATTATGCTTTCTTAAAGTTGTCTGGGTTTATCTATGAATGACATATGATTATATTTTTATTTAGTTGGAGACGCTCCTACAAAGTGCCATTTAAAAAAAAAAAAAATTCCAGAAGGATGGATGTGCTGAATGATGATACTGGAGATCCCCGACTCGGTCCAGCTCATCATGATTTGAAAATCAGGGTCAAACAAAAGAACATATGAAAATATTTTCATGCTTCATATAAGAAAACTTTATTTCTAGCCTCTACGGAACATACACAGAACTTTAGACTAAGCAGTGAACATGTAGTCCTCATCTAAAATCTTTATTTTTATTTACCTAGAGTACATTTAGGAAATTTAGTCGTGAAATTTTCAGATTTTTTAGGGGGTAATTTCCAGTGTTTTCCACAGGTTATGCACAGGTACTAAATCAACAATGCTCCGTGAACAAATATTCTATGTTCTTTAGGACATGAATCTTTAAAGGGAGTAAATGAATACATGGTAAGTTGCCCCTTTTTCTTTGATTTATAATGTACATGTTTATGGCAAACAGTGTGGTAATAAAGGCAACTAGCATTTCTATCTCCTTATACATTTACAACTTTTGTGTTGAGAATATTTGAACATATATTAAATACATGTCAAATTGCTGTGAACCATACTCATGCTACAGTGCCATGTGACATTAGAATTTACTCCTCTTAGGGGATTATCTTTTGATACCTGTTATCAAACCTCCCTCTACATCCCCTCCCTCACCTTTTCTAACCCTTCCTGATGAGCAAGAACACAGTGTTTATCTTCCTGTGTATAGATTATTTTACACAATTTAACATCCTTCATTTCCATCCAGTCACCACCATGACAGAATTTTATTCTTTCTTATGATTAATATTCCACTGTGTTGTGAAAGTAAAAGGACATTTACACTGTGAAAGTAACTTTGAAAGAACCTTACTAGTGGAGTCAGGAGGCCACTGGTATATATGGTTATGCATGATTCCAGAGGCTGCCTGGGGTGTGAATTTTGGTCACCTCCACCCTTTCGCTATATGCACCTGGAAGGACTGGATGGCTACAATTGGCCCAGAAGCTCAAGATGCATATCAAAGGGTTACTGCATTTCTGTTTTGTGGATTTCTCCATTTTTTTAACACATTCTTGTTTTCATCTTCCATAGTCATGCAGACGCTTTCCCTTCCAACATTCAATAGCCCATATGAGATCACACTTTTCTTGCTTTCCTCAGAACAATGATTTATAGCTCTCTAGATCTCTGTCCCCCAAATTGAAATTCCTAAGACCTCAAATAAAGTCGTTTTTACTTTTCTGGTTTCTGAGGTTGGATTGACTGACATTCCATGCACACCATATTTGCTTTATCCATTCATCCATCTAAGGACACCATGATTGACCCTGTATCTTGGCTATTACAAATTGTCCTGCAATAATCATTAGAGGGAAGGTATCTGTTTGGCATGATGATTTCATTTTTAAAAATACTTCAGTAGTAGGACAGCTGGATCTTAAGGCAGTTCTACTTTTAGTTTTTTGAGAAACTGGACTGTAAGCTGTAATGTTTTCTATAATAACTATATTAACTACGTTCTCACCAAGAAAGTATGAAAGTTCCCCTTTTCTACATTCTTACCATCATCGTTATTTTTTGCATCTTGATTACAGCCATCCTAACTGGGGTGAGATGATTTCTCATTGTGGTTTGCTTTGCTTTCATGGTACTTAATGATATTGAGCATTTTTTTCATATTTATTGGCTATTTGTATAACCTCTTTTGAGAACTGACTATTCAGATCATTTGGCCATTTTTAAATTGGATTTTTTGAGAGTTTTTCTCTGTCTTGGGTTGAGTTTTTTTCTTTCACTGCAGGTGATTTATTTTGTTGTTTAAAGCCAAATTAACCTAAGTTGTTCCCTCTTATATTTCCCAAATCTTCCAGGTAATGAAGAGCTCCTTCTATAGAAAAGGAGAAAAAACACAAACACAAAATCTGTATTATATTTACAACTCAGTTTCCTTTACGCAGCATTTTTCTTTTGGATGAAAATACTAATTACTGTCTAATTTTATGAGAAATTTCCTCCTGTTAAGGAAGGTGAAAAGGAAGGGAACTGGAACATTCATTCATTAGCTTGTCTGGAAAGAGTTCTTATATCATAGACAGAGACACTGCACATAGAGAACAAGAATTCTCTCAAAGAATCTTAAAAGGTCAGTTTTCTCTGGTGGCTTTGCCTCAAAGATTCCCACTTCTGTAGATGATATGTAGCATAGGATCTAGTTGATAGGGAGTCAGGAAACTTGGGCAGCTAGAAACTGTGCTAAAAATAGTTTATGCTGGTAAAATGTAAAACCTCATGGTGTTCTGTGTAATCTGGAGAATGTAGCCGAAACATTTTCATTCCACAATGGTTATTCTCTTCCTTTGACCCAATTTATTTCCATATATTCTCAAAGACCTTCTCAAAGGCTTCTCAAAAAATGCTGTGGGTTTTGTCATCTGAAGATGCTTTTCCTACTGTGGAGAACATGTTTCTTTTAAGGGAATGCAAGCTCCTACACAGCTATTAGGGTTTCAGCAAAGTACAGATCTTGAGGGTGCATAATGGAAGAGTAGATGTGGCTCATGCAAAGCGCATACATTTGCCAGTGGCTGATGACTACTAGAAAGTAGTTAAGCAATGCTATGCATGGCCATTTGGCAATTTATGACTGGTTTTAACTGAAAGAATTATCCAAAAGAAGGAAAGTCAATATTCACTGAACTCCTCCTTGTTATAATTATATCCTAGATGTTACAACCATATTTGTATCAACATGACTGGTTTGATTTTAGAGACAGAGTCTTGCTAAATTGCTCAGATATGGCTCTAATTTATAATCCCCGTTTCACCCTCCCAGAGCACTGGGATTACAGGTGTGTTTTACCATGCCTGACTTGAACATACCATTTTTAATGTGTTTTTCTTTAGTGGGTAAGGGGTAGTTCTTTGGTGGCTAGAATTGTTTTTAGGATGTATCTCTACATCAGTCTCTTTCTTTCTACATAGTTGTTGGCAGTAAGTGCATAGCATCTTAGAGTTCTTCTGCACAAAAGTCCCACATTTACATATTTGTGAAATAACATAAGTACAAGGAATATCCACAGAATGTAGTTCTACTTTCATACCAACCTTAATAACAGATAGCTTGTTACATAGAAAAAAACCCATATTACATTTAAGACCTCAGATTCTTTTAGATAGCTCTTTTCTTCTGGCTGGTCACCACATGTTACTGATTAGTTCAACTATTTACAGCTAGATAGGTTTGTAGTATCACAAAATACAGCCACAAACTTCTATTGCCAAAGAATGAATCTAAATATCATTATTACAAAGCTAGCAGTCTCTCATCCTAGAACCTTAATTTTCTTAAGTACTCAGAAACAAAAGGTTCTTTTGGTTTTATCTTATCTTCAATAATTCACCAACTGCTCTCAGCTTCTGTGTCATATTGTCACACCATCACTGTTATTCAGAATGAATCATGGGCCAGCGGTATAGTGGAAGGTAGTAGCCACTAATAAATGCAAGCCAAAGTCAGAAGCTTACCTTAGTTCCTTGAAGGGGTCTGCCCTGACATTAGGTGTTTCTATAGACTTAGGGAAAACTGTGCCCTCAGCTCCTGTAAACAGAAGAAAGCAAACAGAGTTACAGATGTTGGAGGAATCACCTAGGGGCACAATCAGCACACTGATTGGAGCTAAATGTAGCAAATCCATTACACAGCCCCATATGCACAAACCTTGCCACTGGCGCAGGGCTCGCGTCAGGACCGCCCTGAATCAACTCATGCAAACAACCTTTGAAACACAAGGAACATGTTTTAAAATGTCCTTACCGAAATCAGATTGAGGCCACAAGGCAAATACTCTCTAAATTAAAAAAGAAAAAATAAAGAAAAGAAAAGAAAAAAGAAAGAAGAAATGAAGGAAGGAAGGTACCTAGAAATTATAAAGTTTGACTTTTATGTATAATAAGCCATTAACAATTGTCTTGGTTACTTTTCTCTTGTTGCTGAGACAAAATACCTGACACCCACAATGAAGGAAGGAAAGATTTATTTTGTTTCCAGTTTGTGGAGGTTTCAGTCCATACTTGGCTGGCTCGAAGGCCAAGTGGCACATGGCAGAGGGCAAAGGTTCAAGGCCACAGAAAACAACAAAGTAACAAGCACAAAAGGGAAGAATGGCAGCAAGCAGCCTCTTTCCCTCCCTTACATTGTATGCAAACTACCCTCCCTAGCTGGGTGTAGCACTCACACCCATAATCCCAGCACTGGATGATGGATCAAGCATAAATCTTAGAAGCCCGCCCCATGACTGCATGAGGATTTAGGGAGACATGCAGTCACTAACCATAATAACAGTCATCTAACTAGAAATGTTTTCAGATACAGCAGCTGAAGCCCTCCCACTGCATACCACACCTAGGAAATCTACACAGTGTGTTAGATGGTCATATTTCCCTAATGACAAGCAAAACTTTTTCAGTAAATAAAGTTCTACACTATTCTGTTTTGGAAAGTCAAGTAGAAAAACAGAGCATTGTGAGGGATCATTTGGAGTTCAGCACTTTCACACTTTGAGTATTAACATTGATCCCCAACCCAATCTAGACTTTTAGCTCTTCACTGTGCTGTAAGCTTTTATCTTTACAACTTGTCAACACCAGCTGAACTTTTCCAGCCATAAAAGATTGTGATTATCTGATTTATATGCTCCCAAAGTGTTTTCAAATCTTTTAAACCTCAGTTTATCACAGACAATTGCATTGGATATTAGTTTTCCAATTGAATTTAGCAGAAGCATTATCTTGTACTCTGAAGTAAAGTTTATTTTTACACATTTATCATACATTTTTGATGCTGTAAAAAGAGGTGGAATATCTTTCATTAATGTGTGAATTTCTAGACTCCTCTTGCATTGCTTGTAGTGTCTAGAAATCCTCCATTCACCACTATTATTCCAAATCTATATTTATCCTGGCATAATGATGAGTCCAGGAAAATGAACTGATTCCTTTTCTTCTGTAGCAAATATAAAAATATTCACTCTTTTTGATAGGAACATCAGACTTTGCAAGTATCATCAGAAAATAATGCTTCTGCTTAATGTTATGTGTGGTCATTATAGGAATAGCTTGGTGAAAAATTTTTTCAAAGCTAACTTTGAATGACTACTATAGACTCTATCATATACATCAATAATGCACTAGTTCATTTATTTACTGTAACTACTCCACAGCATTGATAATTGTAGTAGGCATAGAGACATTCAGCTACTCAGCAACTCCAAATAAACACAATAAAAAGTTTATAATTCCACCTAACATGATACAACCTCTCTCTTGGGTTAGCTCCACTCATGGTCTGCAGCTTTCATATGCATATGTTCCGGATTCCTAGAATCTCAGACTTCCTATGGCCTCCACTGCACTTTCAGCTTCACTGTCACAGATTTACACACCTACTGCTGAAGGGCACATTGCTTGGCCTTCAGGCCTTGGTTTGAAATCCGGGTGATGCCTCCATGACCTCCTGACCCTTGCATTCTGCATGCTTGAGCAACCAGCATCACATGAAGGAAAGAAATGTCTGCCACTAAGCTGAGCAGTAGTCACGCCACTCTAGCCATGGCCGTGGGAGACTCTGACTAACTGAATGGATGGGTGCAGTGAAATAAAGCTTGGGATACCAATTACCTAGATGGCTTTTATCAAGCAGGTGGTCCACAGGTTTTCTTCTCAACTGAAGGCTTTACACTTTTGCATTCTTGAGCCTGTGATGAATGGGTCTTGCCAATTCCTGAGATGCTCTCAAGGCATCGTTCTTATTATTATCATTCAAAATACTTGGTTTTTGTTTCACGGTGCTAATCTCTTTAGAAAACCATACCTCCAGTGGCCTATCTTTTGCTCTGCTTTTTACCCCCAATTCTCGCTATAAATCCTGCTGTAAGCAGTCAGCAATATCCATGCCATATCCTGGATGTGAGCTATCTTGACTTTTCCTCTACCTTTAATCTCAGCCGCCTTCACCCTTGTTGTAGGACATCCATCTCCAGATTTCCAGTGCAGACTGTTTAGTCTTTCAGGGAAGAACCTTCAGCTTCCTGATATAGATTCACATGGGACTCTGTAGTCAGCATCAGACCTTTGATTTGTGACTAGATCCTTCCTATCTACAGCATGTAAACAGCCCTTTGCATTCTTACACACCTTATTCAGTGGCCACTGTAACCCTGCCTTATAAATCCATATATTTTCTCTTAAATCTGTTCCCATAGTAACACTAACTGATACATCAGCATCAAACTCCTCCCAGAAATCTGTTCCAAAGGCTTATGAACCACATACTCAGATATGGTCACAGCAATGACCCCTATTCTCTGGTACCAATTTTCTGTATTAGGCAGCCTTCACATTGTGGACTAAATACCACATACCCACAATTTATAGTATGAGAGGTTCAATGTAGTTCTAGGTTTCAGAGGTTTGAATCTACGTTGGCTGGCTTTGAGGCCAATTCATGATGTTGAAAGGGTGTGGTAGAGCAAAGCTTCTCAGTTTATAGTGGCTGGGAAGCAGACTAGGGAAGCAGCACAGCATCCAAAAGGAAGGTTCGATGGGCCCAAAATTATACTTATATGACCCACACAGACACATGCCTAAGTATGCATTACTAATGCTCTAGGTGGCTTCCAAGCGAATCAACTTGACAGCTAAACTTAACTCTCACAGGTCTAAATAAGGAGCTGCAGGTATGGGCTCTGAGTTCTACCATCCTTCTAAGAAACTTAAAGGGGAAACAAAAAAGCTATGACTAAGTCATCTAATACATTACAGACATTCACTAAAGGTCTGTAGAAAGAAGACAATGTCATTTGAACCCTAGAGCTCAGGTCTTCAATGTTCTCTGCTCTACAAGCCCTTTTGCTGTATGCTTGGCTAGAAGTGTGTATCATTTTCCTTTATATCCTAACTGCCCAGGACAGTGCCAGCACAGAGGAGACACTCAACAAATACTTGAGAAATGATAACAATACTCATTTTGCCCTGAGCACACACTATGTAGGATTTTTTTATTTACCCCACAGACATTCACCCCATTTCTTCAAGTAGATCATAAGTTCTGTGTAGGTAGGAAATGATCATCTATTGACTAGCTAGATTGACTTTACATGCCTCAGTCCTTTTCCTGGACTGATTTTCATCTGGTACTGCAATTTCTATGGAAGTACTAATTTATTGTTGTAAAATTCCATATGCAGTGCAATCAATTTTAAATGAGTATTCAAATCACAAGTCAACAAATTATTTTAATTTTATCTATACAACTTAAAAAGCTGTGCTAATAAAGGAATACTATTTGGCCTAAATAAAAATATATCTTTAAACAAAAGTGAGACCAAAGACTTGTAGTTTCCTACTAGATCACAGAACCTGCTGAGCCTATACATAAGACTGGGTTAGAAATGTAATCTCACAGTCACAGATCCAGTGGGTGCCAGCGCAGAGATCCACATGCTGGTCTCTGACTCTGAAGACCACTTCTCGCCAGAGCACTCCAGTCCCTTGTTCCTCAGCCCCAGGTCTATGTGGCAGCTGATGAATGAGAATGTGTCAGGTGGAAGAAAAGGTCAAGTTACGTTCCTTCAGTATGCACCATCAAAATACCCTTTGGTTTTGTTTCTTCCAGGCTTTGTCCAAGAGGACCCCCCCACCAGAGAGCACCCTTATTGATATGACTTTCTGGGGGGAGACAGCAAAGTTTTGCTGAGTGGCTTTAGACACAACACTCAATTTCCCTGATGCTGTTTCCTTCTCTGAAAAAGAAGAAATATTCTAAGTACCTTTGTCTCCTAAAGACTTGGATGACTGAGATCTCCGGTGCATAGCAATCAGTAATGAAATTTAATAAAACACTGCTAGCAATAAAATGTTTATGAATCCTATTCTTTATCCTGACCTCAATGATAATGTTTTTTTTTTGGTTGTTTGTCTGTTTTTTTTTTTTTTTTTTTTTTTAGATATGGTCTCACTCTGTAACTCTGGCTGGTCTTAAACTCACTGTGTAGCCCAGGCTGTTTCAGGGCAATCCTCCTGTCTCAGCCTCCACAGTTCTGGTATTACAGGCAGGCATCACCACACCCTGCTCATCGGTGATGATTTAAAAAACATTTCAAGGTAATTACTATGAATTTGAAATACTCTAGGTTTTCATTTGTTCATCCGAGTAGAATAACTCTATGCGGTAGGGACTATTTATCTCTGTTATCAAGGGTGTGTAATCTGAGAGATAAGTGAAGAAATTTTCCCATAGTCACACAGTTCAATGATAGTGAAAATGAACATTAGTTTTTCAGGTCTACACTTGATTCCTTAATGCCTTTACTATCTCCCCCAGCAGATGAACTTGCTCTCCACGTGTTCATCTTTTTCTGAAATCAGAACAAATACTATTGGCTATGCCTTCTGATAATGTTTGCCAAATCCCAACCTACCCTTCTAGAAACAGTTCTCTCCAAGTCCTACCAGACTTCTCATTTTCACATCATTTTTCACTTTCACACACCTATATAGTGGACAGTGATTCATCAGGACAAATTCTCCCATCCTGTACTC